GTTGTTAATAGTCCCTTTGCAAAAAAAAAAAAAATTGAAAAGTTTATCAATTTTATTACACTCCGCACGAGTAGGTTGAAGAGTTTGGAAGGTGTAAACAAGGAGAGAGTAGAGAACACTTTCAATGAGAGTTAATCCACCCCCAAAACTAAAAATTAAATAAAATCCTATGACAAAAGCTTGTTGTACACAAAAGTAGTCAAGTTATCAAATAGAAATGTTTTCTTCCTACTTTTAAAGAGAGGAACCCCAGGTACTTAATAGGAGAGTAACCTTGCACAAAACCAGTAATGTGTTTGATAGCTAAAATATGATCATTAGGCATTTACTAGAGGCTATAAAACAACACTTATGTTTATTTCGAAAAAAGCCCACAAACATTTTCAAACTTATGAAAGAAGCCTATAATTTTAATAATCATATTTAAAGAAGCATTAGTAAAAATAATGAAATCATCAGCAAAACATAAATGGAAAAAACACCCTAAGTTCTAAAATAGAGGCAATAAAATAACACTTATAATTTTCTTTATTACACTATGATGTCTTGTTATCATGATTATTATTTCTGAGTATTTTTATTACTTATCTTTAGGGGTATTGTTTGTCACATAAACCCCAATGTGTCTTATAAATTTCTAACATATATTTGTTATCATCATGATAGAGGGAATCTGTCGATCACATGAGCCCAAAAAGAACTTAAGATTTTGATGATCACAAATACACTAAGAAATTTCAATTGATCTTTTTTTTTTTTTCTTAAACTTTTTCAATTTGTCATTTCAATTAACTTTATTCAAAATTTAGGTATATCATGTGGGAAAAAGTAGATAGGGTTATAAGATAAGAAACAGATATTATGGCAATCATATGTAAGTCTTCCTTAAAATTATATATATATATATATATATATATAAATATAAAGACAAGAAAGCACAGGATATTAAAATTATGTTAAATTGCTAAACTAGATATTACACTATGTACACATTACTAGAGAATTGAAATTCAAAGAAAATTTAATTTTAAAATGTTATATAATGTATTATTAGTAATTAACTAAATTGAACTTTTAAAATTAGGCATTTGTTATATTATAAAATTAACTAACATTATTGAAACCCATAAAAATTTGCTGACCTCCATTAAGAAAATGTGTCTCTAGGTAGCTATGTGGTTGCTATATAAATATACAGAGTTTTGGGAACTTAAAAACTTAATTATTATTTTCCTTTGCTAAGTTTGTGGGCAATAGTATAATATTTAACATATTTTTCTTATGTTTTATGGGTCTTCAATAATAATGGGGATAAGCTCTCACATTTACTCTATAAAAATGAATTCTCTTATTTGGTGAAGCTTCTATTAGGCATCAAAGCATGTTAATAGAATATTGCTTCGTTATTATGTTTGGATTGGCAAAAATTAGCAAACATGAGTTTACTAGTTTATTCAGTAAATCCAATATGACCTAGATGAAATGGATGATAGCCAAATACTTAGGCTTCCAACAAGTATAGGAGTTTGAGTATCTTAGAATTTAGCTAGCTCTGAAAAAAACTCACAACATCTTACTTCTCTTATCTTCTATGTAAAACCACTAATATGGTTAATATATGTGGATGATGACATCTCTCTTTGGCAGAAAGGTCATCCTCATAAATTCAACTTTGTAAACTATTCTAATTGATCTCATCACCCATACTAATGTTCCTAAAGGTGTGATTGTCCATATTGAGATGATTTGTCAGAAAGATTTGACCTATAAAGTTATGCATTATACATCTTAGGTTAACCTTTGTCTTCCTCATTAGCTTGGATCTTTGGGGTTACACTTGTCAATAAGTTGGCATGGTATGCTTTAGGCCAAGAACCCTTGGGAGTATACTAATAAGATAATGTATCACAACAATTGACTCTTGAATGGTAAGTATGGAAAGAATATCTTATATAATGTTAGAAAGAGGAGACACTTGCCTATATGGATCATTCCATGTGAAGAAGCACGTGCATTGAAACTAATGCTACACTGGAAGATAACTGATGGGATGAAGATAGGAAATTTCTATCAAACTTCAACATTTTAACTTCCCCTACTAAAGTGGCATACTTTCATGAGCATTTAACTCCAAGAGGACTTAGTGGTGGCTAATTTTTTAACCAACGTAGGTGAATGACATATTTTATCCATTCAAAGTTCTTTTGGTTTGCCTCTCATTCATAAAATCCTCCTCATCCAATTACATATTTAATTGCCTCATGATTCTATTGAACTTAGAACTCCTTCTCAAAATCAACCACCAGTCCCTATTCCCTTACAAAAACCTTTTTTATTTTTATATACACCTACGGAAAGAAAGTATTTGCTTTATTTGCTTAATAAAAGTACTTTAATTTTTTTTTTTTCATGAGATCAATTTCTTCAATGAAAGTCAATCAATGTATAAGAATGTACTTATGTATGCCTTATTTATTTTCATTTATTGTGCTTGTATTTTGTTAAGTACTTTGGAGGAGAACACCTAAAGGGAATGCCTTTGTTGTGAATAAGGTGAAAAGAAAGTTTCACCAAGAAAAGGTTGATGTAAAGGCTTCTTCGCCTATTGAAGGAGAAATGTTTTTAAGTGCAAGTTATATAGAAAATTCTAAGTTTGGTGTGCATCTAGACGTGGACTAAGTTTGCATTCAAAACATTTAAAAATTATAAGTATTTGAATGATTGATTATCTCTTTTTATTTTTCTCAATATTTTTGCCTATTTAAAAATCATTGATTTTCATAATGTTTTCTTTGTAAGAAACTCATATATTTTTATATGCTCAGTCCCCCTTCTCTCTTCTTGGACACACTAATACTACAACATTCCCAAGAGTTAAAAAAGATATGGTACTTAATAACATTAGAGAAATTAGACAAGACATAACATTCTTCCATGTATTGATGTGATCATCTTGATTAGCTGTCTTAATAAAGGATTCAAGGGACCTAATTTTAAACATTTTAGATTAGATTTCACTTTCATTTCTTAAGGGAAGGGAGATTGGTAAGATATGGATGAATTAAAGGTAGGATAGAACCATGTCATTGATGTGATTCCCTTTCCTTGAGATGGAGGAAAGCAATGAGGAGAGAAAAATAGAACCACTTGAGGAGACTAATACTTAATGACGGAACCATGAGGCTAAACATCTTTCCCTACATGAACTCAAAGGGGACATTAAGTTGATTTTGAGCAACACGTTTACTAGAACCAAAAGTTTCTATCAGCTGCATTTGAGAACTAGATGGGATGGTCGGTGTTGCTTTAAAGGTCATTTGGAGTTTCATTTCTCACTATCTTCATTCCATCATAAAGTACCATTAGCTTCTCATATACAATAATGAATATTAATTAATAAAATTGGGCTTATCTAAGATAGAAAGAATGGTGTTCCGTCAATGTTTGAAATTAAGACAAAAGGAATTAACTATGATTAAAGTTACTCGATTAGAAGCCATAGGTAGAAAAAACTAGGTTTAAGTAAATGGAGTTGACATGAGTAACAGATAGTTTAAGAGTAGTTCAATAATTTTGATGAATATTCGATTTGACAAACTAATATCAAAAGCATTTATTAATGTTACTTTGGAGTTAAGATGGCTACTATTTTAAAAGGGAAGATTAGAGGCACATTATGGAGAAATTTAAGATCATAGGCTTCAGCAATAATTTCTTTTTGTTAACTTTTTAGTCCCAATGAGTATCTAAAGAGATTTATAAAGGCTATCTATTGAGCTTTTATAAGCAATGTATAATCATTTAAGACTCCTAATATAGTGGTAGCTTTGGTCCAAGAACCCCATTAATGTCATTATCATAAAAAAAATACATGATTTGCAATGGCCCTTCGATAAGGAAGAATTTTTTTTGATAAAAGAACCCTAATATGTCAATGTTTTTGCATTAAATTTTGCCTTAAACAAGACATTACCTACTTTTTGTTATGTTACTTCCTAAGAGGAGTGTTTAAGCCGATATAAAAACTTCTCAAGACTTAAGATAAATTTTCCAGAGATTTAAAAAGGGTTTTTTAAAATAATTTTTCTAGTCCAAAAATGAATCCTTAGAGTAAAAAGAATTCTCTAAGGACTCAAATAACTCGCTATGACTATATTAATGTTATGTCATTTGTAGGACTAAGATGCATCCATGTAAAAGGTGGGAAAATCAAAGAATACAACATAGTTTAACTATCACTCAAATATAACTAATCATTTTAGTAGTCATAAATTGCAAATTGAGAACTAAATACAGATCATTATGAACAAAGCATCTTTGCAAGTTTAAATATCCATTAGCGCTTAAATGGACAATTTAATAGCGATAGGAGTGCTTAAAGTTTATAAAATATATAGTACATGTATTTAATATAAAATGAAAATGTGCAACATAATTCTAGCTCAAAAGATATGCATTGTGATTCTCAATGTAGAGGTCAAAAGTACTTAGACCTATAACTAGCGTCATTCCGCATTAACTACAGCTAATTTCATATTATTTATCCATATTATGTTAATAAATTCAAAATTATTTGATCTTTTATACAGAAAAATAAAAATATAAACAAATCTTTTATATATAAAATTATGGTTGAAAGATTAAAACAAGAAGTTTTGACTTCGAAATATCCTGGAATTAGAAGATATTATATATGCTAAATCATGATTGAAGATATATATATTTAGGCCAACTAAGAAAAACTTACACCTACATCACATATATCAGCTTCAAATCTCTCAACCAACAGATCAAGTTAAGCTGCATCTGAATCATGAATTTAATAAATATACTTCAATGAGCTATGTTGTATGATACAAATATTTAAGTATAAAAATTTTGCGGCTATAATATTTGTAAGGGCAAAGTAGGAAAAACTATGCCGCTTAGCATTGTACGAGTATCCAGCTCACACATAAAAAGAGTAAAAACACCATAATTTTTTGCGTGGAAACCCTAAATTTAAAAAACCACCAGGCCACGCCCAGTCAAATTGATCCACTAGTATTTGAATAAATTACAAATAATTAACTCATCCTTAAACTTGAGGGATATCAGATTATAATAACCAACCAACATGATGAAATCTAGCGACAAATAGGAATTAGATGAAACTTCGGCGACAGAAGGTGGTAAAAATGTGACGTCAGTTGGTAGCTGAGTTGAAGTCCAGCGGCAATTGATGGCAGGGCAAAAATCCTGCATAAATTTGTAGCCAAGTTGAAGTGCAACGATAGTCAATGACCGGGCATAAATTCGGCTTAGTTGGTGGCCAAGGAGAAGTCCAACGACAGTTGGTGGCCAGACAGTAATCTGACGTCAATTTGCAACATAGTTGATGTCAGGTGATACTAGGTGACCGTGGAGAAATCCGCGTCAGTTGATGGCCAAGCAAATGCTCGACTATAGTCCAACAATAATCGGTGGTCTAATGGTGCTTTAGGAGTCTGGTGGTAAGAGAACTCTAATTTATCACTCTTTGATCTCTTCCTTACTTGGGTTTCCTTAAATGAAGAATGAGAGGTCTATTTATAGTTTTTTTTAGTAGCATGATTAGTAAATAGGAGGGAGATAAAGCGTATGTTGGGACTTGTTTGAATTGACAGATGATATTGAACCCCTTGATTATGAAGCATTTATTAGGCATTTGAATGTCTTAGGGGCTGTTTGGTTGCCTAAAACAAAATGAAGTGTAAAGTAAATGTAATGTAAAATAAATGTTTAGGGTTCTAATTGCATCCCATAAAAGACTTTTTCACATCCGAAAAAAGCCAAAAAAACATATTTTCTATAATGGTTTCGTAGGATCTCTATTCAATAACACCAATAATGAATGATCAATGCAAATTACATTCCAACAATTAATATATTCGTTAATGTAGAAACAAATACAATAAACATGGACTCACATTGAAAAGATCTAAATGCAGTAGGCTTTTGCTTTCAAATTCAAATCAAAGAATCATGTATCAAATTAAAGCCTCATATTATACAACTAAACAGATACACTGGGCATTTATATATATAAAGAAATTGAGCTTGATTGACCTGATATGATATATGTGAAACAGGACTGAAATCCAACAAAGCATTCCTTATGGAAATCCTATGATAAGTATATAATCGCCTTTCATTTCATTTTAAAAGATACTAACAACACAAAACTCAGTATAAATATGAATGGGATAACATACTCATCATGTGGATTTCTACAAGGAAATTCCTTTACTTTTGTCCAGCAAAACTTTAGATATTGCCCATGGCTACCGCAAAGATCCTTTGAAATGATATTTTCATTGAAGAAATCAGTAGATTCGAGTCTATGAAGTCCCTCTCTATTCCCATGACCAAAGTTAGCTTTCCCATGTAGCTCACAACTGTTACTGTAAGGTTCTGCATTTAATGAATTTCACTATTATGATAATCATTTTGAATACATCCTCACTTGATATTTTCCCAAAATTTTAAGTTTAATTTGGTGAAACATCTCATTTATGATATGGAGAAGATAAAAATTTTGATACCTTAAATATGAATCTATTTAAGCATGATTATTTATTGTTATAAGAAATTACCTGAGGGAGGCCTACAAAAACTTTTCTTCACTAAATTGTCACCGCTTTGGAAGAATGGATGGCATGTAAATCTATCTAATCCAAGCAGCATTTCTTCTCTCTCGCTAGCAGCCCAACAACAACATAAAGATGACCCATCATCAAAACTAGAAAAATTAAATGAATAAAATACAAATTGGCATTTCAGCTAATTAAATTTTACACTGATATTTTTTTTAATTTAGTGATAAAAGCAATTGTTTTCGTTTAGCAATCAATAAATCACACGATTTTCATCCATAAGATGTAAACAATATTAATGAAAATTTAAAATTAAAAACAAAAGATAAAATAATACCTAATGTTCTTAGTTATAATTACGACAAAGTAACACGAAACTTTTTTTACTGATAACAACTTAATAGATATGACAATCTTCATCAACTTAAATCGGTTTCCTATCACTTTACGCATCCATCTAGCCTTCGAATCTGTAGGTTTTAAAAGGAAAGATGGTATCAGTGTAGGGTTTTTTGATAAATTATCATATATTGTATCAATCTCTTCTTCTGAGAATCCAAAAATATTTGTTAACTCAAACATCAGTTCAGTATACATATTTTTAATTTTCTTTGGTGATGCTATTGAGCTCTTGATAGTATTAGCAACTTCAGTCACACTATCAGCCATCAAAAAAATACACTCACGAATATTTTGATCGATAGCATATATCTTAGACTTTCTTTTAATGCCACCTCCTACACCAGATGAAGGCTGCAGTTTCTTTGTTGTTGCAGTTGAATCTTCCATGACTTGCTCATTATGTCAACATTCTAAATGGAGGCGGTGTGCACTTCACCCTTTTTGGTATCTGGAGCTTTACTTCGTTTGGATTTTTCTGGATGACCCTCGGATTTTGATAAGTTCAGTTTCTCGAACTTTGCCACCCAGTCCAGTAGCTCCTGGAATGTTGTGGACATACATAATTATGTAACCATTCAATCATCAATATTCTCCATCAGCAGTTGGACATCAAGCTCTTCCTCTAGCTATTGCTCCCATTTCATACTCATCTAGAAATGACTTGCGGGACCCTAGTTTCACGGGGCATTGATCCATCTGCACAAACATCCATAAACTATGAGGGTTCATCATCGCCTAAATGTATTTGTTCAGTTCCAAGTGGAGTTTAAGAATTTTCATATTTCGCCCACTCTCCAGTTGCATGTCCAAGATCACATACTATCTCCAACTCTACATAGTTTGCAATTGCAATATTTAAATAAGCAGCATCCTTGGGAAAAGCTTGTAAGAAATAAAATAAAAGTTGTTAGCCCCAAAATATCAATTTAAATATTGTGCTTATAATAATACTTGAATATGTGATGCATACTCTTCATGACCCATCACTATCATTTTCTTTGTTTCAACCCCAAGATACACCAGATCTTCATTTTAACTCATGAATGTGAATCCAAACACTTCTTTGATGCCTAATTTTGTTCTTGCATTGCTCACATGTCACCTCTATTCCAAACTTCTCTTTCATTTTTTGGGTGGCACCTTGATACACAATGTCTTTAAATCCTTTGGTACTTCGCATAGTTGCATTTACATATTCCATCATTATTTGAAGCAATCCAGTTATCCACTCAGGTTTTAAGCTCCATAAAAAATTTTTCCTCTTGGGCTTCGAAGTACCGTTCAACTCTATTTGTAATGAATTCATTCTCCCTTAAAGTAAATATGATAAATAAATTTAAGTCATGTACAGGAAAGAAATTATGAATGGCTCTGTATACTACTAGACATTGTTGAATATTAGGAATGGTGAAAATTGCTTCTTAATTGGGGATCGATCCAAAGTGACTTTCTCTAACCATGTGAATATTAAATAAACAAACGTATATAAGTGCTCAAACAACGATTTGACTTAAATAATCAAAGTATAGCTCATAATAGTTCTGAGAATTACATTGAAGTTGTAAAACCATATGATTTAAGCTTAACCAATATAATCAATAAAAACAACAAACTATAAATTAGTAAGTTACAGGTAAATTCATAAAAAGGAAATTAACAAATTTAGTATCCATTATTTTGCATGCGAGTCCACATGAATTGAGCAATTTCATCTCTTTTATCTAGCCATTCTCGAGAATCATCTATAACTGATGGATCTCCTCTTCTATAGTGACTTCTCCTAGCTCGTTCATCCTCAGATTGAATGAACTCATCACCACCTTCTGTAACTATCCAATTATGTAGTATGCAACATACAATCACAATTTCAATTTGAGTTTGTAGAGGAAAGTAAGGTTCATATTTTATAATTGTGAAATGGTTTTTCAAGGAACCAAATGCACGCTCAATAGTTGTGCGTAATGAGGAATGATGTAGATTAAAAAGTTCCTTAGAATATCTAGGTTGAATAGAATTGAACTCCTTCAAATGATATCTTATGGCACGATATGAGGAAATAAAATCATTTCGTGTGGAGTAGCCACCATCAGCCAGATAATATTTACCTGCTGAGACACGTAAACAATCTAATCTTTCTAATATATTTTTAAGTATTGTTGTGTCATGAGCGAAACCTTCCCAACCAGCAAGTACGTATGTTAACCTCAAATAAAAGTAAACTGCTACTAAAACATTTTGTGTTGGGTATGATTTCATTCCTCTAAATGCGGCTTCATTCTCCTTTGGAACCCTAGCTTTAATATGAGTTCCATCTATCACGCCAATACAATCCTAAATTTGACACAAAGTATTTTTAAGATATCGTAATAAAAGAGAGTTTTTAATTGAATAAAGATTGATTAACCTTGAAAAATGGCATGAACCTATTACTTGATTTAATCTTATATGGGTTTCAGGAAGTGGAGGCTTGATAAAATCATGGCGTAATTCCCCTACAGCATGTAATGCAGCTTTTAAGTACCTACTAACAATTTCACCAAAGCGATGAAATTTAAATCGGATGACTCAATTATGAACACTATGCCCAAGTGTATGCAATAACATAGCAACTTGATCCTCGATTCAAACATTCATTGGGTCTAACAACAATCCTCGCGTACGTATTGAATCACATAATTTGGAAAAAGGCGCTCGCCTCATGCGTACCATGTCAACACAGTCAGAACCACGTCCATTATATAACCTAAAAAGATATGTGCCATTTTATATATTCTGTTGAGGATTATATTTTTTTTCTTTGCGAATCTGCTGCAATAGTACACATACTGTACAAATTGCAATAAAAACCACTTTAAGCACATCATTATATTTTTGAATTTCATGGAGTTCAGCAACATCTTCTAATGGCTCAACCATCGTTGTAACTATAAAATTCAAATTCAAGCAAAAAAATATCCATGAGAAATAAAACATGAAAGGGGGTTGTATGCAGCAGTAATGAAAAAAAAAATCAAGTTCTTTTGCACAGGACTATATATAAAGCTTTATTTCATAAATATTCATGAAAGGGTGTTAGAGAGGTTTTTGCAGTGGGTGCCTTTTCTAGGTCAGTCGAGGATTAGTCATGCCGCCAAGTGTTTTGGGGTTGGCAGCGGGTGGAAAACCGTTTCAAAAAAAATAATTGCACATGGGAACCAAAGTTTAATCTTGTTGTCCATGAGTTTAAGGTTTCGTTTGGGACTGCTTACTTACTACTTTCTAAATAACATGTACATCATATCATTAATACTGAAAGATAATTATTAACACCGTATCATTAATAAAATTAATAACATGTACACAAACATTATTTTTTATTCTAAGATGTATATTTTTCAAAAATTTATTAATTGCCTTTCGAATTAGAACTATATCATTTGAAATAATCATAAAACAAAGCATCTAATTTTGAAAATTCTTCTGAACAAAAAATGTGGACACAGTATTGAATCTTAATTACGTATAAATAGAAATAATTACAAAAAAAACATGCAGAGAAAGAATGGCATTTGATTAAGGGTAACTATGTATGATTTCTAGACGGAGACAAAGCAGAACTTACAGGCAGCTCTATGAGTACTATGAGCATCAATTGGAAATTGTCTTCATTCACCAAAGAAGATCACGTGAGTGAACAGTGGATTGTTTGATGGGTAAATTGTTTTTATTTCATAAATATTCATGAAAGGGTGTTGGATACTATATATAAAATCACCACACATTACAAATTCATCAAAACTAAAAACATCCTTTCAAAAGATACTGAAAAGCCAACTTTCAATGCTGAAACTTTCAAACGGAAGAAACCTCATGCATTAGAATCTAAACAAAAGCATTCCATCAAGAGAGAACTCATAAGGATAGTCACAGGAAATGGTTGATATGTAGGTATAGACAAGTCATTTATATATAAGCAACCAATTCATTCAGAACAACATTTTTCACAGATCTTCATCACTTCCCTAATTATCAAGAGTGGATGGAAAACAATTTTGTTTCAGATTTTAACAAGAAAATCTCAGATTACCCTTTCCGATGCATTTTTTAAATGCAAAAATAAAATTCAAGAATGAGAGGAGGAAAAGATTGGGAGAAAAAAAAAGTGAAGGAATGAAGAAAAAGATGATGAAGAGGATGTAGAAGAAGTTAAAAAGATAAGAAGGTTCCCGGCGTCAGCTAGGACAGAGGAAGTGAGGGATCCGGCTAGGGCTATTGTCCACACGAGCGAGGGGATACGAAGGGTTGGGGGCGTTAGATCCCTGCTTGCCGCGAATGGAGGCGGCGAAATAGGGGTTCGCCTCTTGTGCTCATGTGAATAGAGGGAGCTGGGAGAGAAGGCTTCGGCTTTGTGAGAGGGAGACAGCTTTGATTCCGCGAAACCATCGCGCGTGCGAATAACGGAGAAGAAGGGAGCTCTTATCAGCTCAGATTCCGCGAAAACATCGCGCGCACAGGCTGGTTAACGCTTGAGAGAATTCTAACCAGCTCGATTTGAGCAGGCTGTAATACATGGTTGATGCTTCGGAGGACTTCTTTATGTTCCACTCAAAATCAACTAAACGATCTAATTTAAGAAATACGTGCAATTAATTTACTTTACCCTCCTATTTCTGCATATCAAACAGCCCGTTAATCATATCAAAATTAGACAATCATGTGCTCGTTGGATTTGCCTCGTGAAGACACTCAATTCGACTATAAGCATGTCACATTTGAAAATTGTTTGGTCATTCAATTTATGATTTGAACCTTCAAAAGATGCTTTGAATCTTCGATTTCATACCATTTGGGCAAAGATTGAGTCGAATTTGTTGTCATTTGGTTTGTCTTTTGGAGACGTTCAATTTGACTGTAAATTTGCTTAAATTGGAGTTCAGATTTAATTTCAAAAATTTCCAACTTGATCTTGCCTCAAGATTTATGCTTGATTGAGAAAATTTTTTTATGATATAGCAAAAATAATTCTTAAAAGATAGGTTAAAGCACGAGGAATATAGGAATCTTGAAATTAATTTGTAATATAACATGAAAGGATTATGACACAATTATATTTGAGGCATAATTAGGGTTAAACTGTTGAGGGTACAATAGTAAAAATACTTGTGTGATTTAGGCATTCATAAAGAACTTACGATGACATAGCAAAGTAATCTAACCATACCTTGAGGAATAATCAGAGTTATGCAAAGATTCAACCGAGTGACAACTATATCAATAGAAAATTATTGGGTTCGGACACCGGACGACCTCCAAAATCCAATAAAAATATGTCACATAATCCCATACTCGGTACAGAGCTTTGTATGAGCTCAGTACTTCACAGTACTGAGCTCGATTCTGCTCAATACTAAACTCAGTACTGCTCGGTGCCGAGCTCAGTGCCGAGTTCAGTATTACTCGGTACAGTGAAATACCGAACTGTAAGCTGTATCCGATGTCCGAACCCAATAATCTCTCCGATATTTAGATGGGAAACGTAAGACAAGATAAAACTCCACTTGACTCACAACACCTCATTGGCTCAATTATCTCATAATTCCGCCTGGACAGTTTGAATCGACCCCCAAGTAATTACTCCAAATGAACATCTGACGAACAGCTCTGAATGAACGCTTCAATGGACATTTGAGAGTCATGATTGTTAAAATCGGATGGGACATTGAATTAAAAGGAGAGATTTAAGGTTTAATAATTTGATCAGGATTAAATTAAAATAATGTAATAAATATTAAAATTATTTAGATGTTATCAAAACGGAATAATAGTGATATACTCCATTAACAAAAAACAACAACTTTGGTCAAAATTTTCTAAAATATGCATATATGAATAAATAATAACTTCTGTAATTTCAAATTAAACACATTCAATTTTTAAATTTTATTCAAATTTATTTTAAAATTAATTCACATATAAATTTAATATAAATTATTATAATATTTATGTTATATATTATATAGAATTATAAATTTAGTATATAATATTATATTATGGCTTCATAAATACAATTATATATAGTTTAAATTTATATCTATAAAACTTTATGTTAAATAATTTATCTTTAATTAAAAAATTATAATATTGTACAAATAAATAAATAAATTATTAATTATTAATTAAAAAATAAATAGTATCATATTTGTACAGAATTAATAAAAAAATCCTATTTAAAAATATATACTACATATATTATGGCTTCATAATATCAAGTCATCTATTTAATCTCACATCACTTAAGAACTTCATTGGTACAAGCATTATTAGTACCTCTCTCTTTATAAAAGAAAAACAAGGCAAAAAAAAACATATATAAAATTCACAAAACCTCCCACTGAAACAACCCATAAATATTGAATATTTTTGAACTAAAATTGTTTAACATGCACTTTTTCATAGGATAAAAATAAAACTTACGGCATAACACATCATTCCTGTAGGGGTCTTTGGAATTGTAAAGAATACAAGCAGTGTAGCTTAACTCTTGAAACTCGAAAAAAACTGCTTTCACTCTAGTTCTTTAAATTCCCTAACTCATCTCCTCAAAAAATCATTTATATTCTTATCTTCTGAATCTTCAAAGCCCTAAATCCAAATGCTAACAATGTACAAATAAATAAAATTGGGATGGAAAAAAAATACTCAAATTAATATGGATTTGTAAAGTGAACAAGATTGGCGTTTTTTTGCTGTTATGTGAATGCATTTCCTTGGAACTGACCTGCCAAATGCGAGCCATGCAAATAAATTTATAAAAGCTGGCACAATTTATATATAAATCTTCTCAAAGCTACACGTCCAAACCTTCTTCCCCTCCCTTAAAAAATTACTGATGCGTTATTAGCAAAAAAAAAAAAGAAAACTATGATAACCCAATACAGGAGCTAGTACATATTTACAGCGATGAACTTAATCAATGGGGTGCTTGTCTGCTTGGCGAGAACTATGTTGTGCAGTCAACAGTAGCAACGAGAGAAAAGCACTCGCAACAAAGATTGCATCGAACCAGCGGTGGTAGAAATCAAACTGGACATCACCCCCAAGAACATCTGTTATAATAATCCTGCAAATAGTAGAGTTGATTAGTATAATAACACTACAAAAGCAGAAAACCAATGTCGTTTCAGTCATATAAGTATTTCAAGCATGCGTTATGCAAATTATGAAAGATGAGATAAACACCAACTGTTAGAGCATTTTTTTCTACTTCGATGTGGATGTAAACAAGGGCAATAATCATTTCATATATGAGCGTATCACATTATGTCACTTATGATGCTATTTCTTTATATTTTTTTAATACAACAACAACATTAAGCATTTATCCCACTACGTAGGGTTAGCTACATGAATCATTTTATCTCCATTGTGTCCGATTAAGAGTCAAAATCCCATTTAGATCTAACAAAGAAAGGTCATTTCTAATATTTTCTAACCAAGTCTTTTTAGGTCTACATCTACATTTTTAACATAGGTTAAATCTAATACATCTACTATCCTAGCTAGGTCATAAGAAGACTGCCATTTTATGTGACCAAAATCATATAAGGAGACTCTCTCTAATCTTATCTTTCATTGGAGCTACTCCAACCTTTTCATATACATGCTCATTTTGTATCCTGTCTCTAAGAGCAAAGTCACTGATCCATCTGAGCATTCTCATCTCTGCAACACATAACTTTATATTATGCTTCTCTTTTAATGGCCAATATTCTGCACCATAAATCATTGCAGGTATAACCAACATCTTCTAAAAATTTTCCCTAAGTTTGAGTGGTACTTTTCTATCACACAACAAGCCCGATGCATTCCTCCACTTCATCCATCCAACTTGAATTCTACTAATAATATCCCCATCTATTTAACCATCACTCTGAACAATAGACCCAAGATATATAAAATATGTACTCTTATTAATGACTTGATCGCTCAAAGTCACAAATCTCCCACTATAACTATTACTACTAAAATTAAACTCCATGTATTCGGTTTTAGATCTACTCAAATGAAAACCTTTAGACTCTAAGGTTGACCTCCATAATTCAAGAAAAATTATACTGTAAAAACCAAAATTAAGGACAACTCATGATTTTGACTTCTACACGTTAGATTAAATTTCAAATTTCCAGTACCACCTAGTCTTCATATAATCACAAATGTTAGGCAGTAGTATAGATATTAAAGTTAAAATATAATAGAACTAAGATATAGATTTCAAGCAATGTATCGCGCCTTGGAATTCTCCTACCATTTCCAAGATTATAAACAGATTCGCTCAAAATAGCTTTCCTTATCTCAATAAAATTGGCCAGCCAGATTCAGAAAGCCAGAAACTCCCAACATTCCGAAGCTACGTCTAAATGTCTATATACTTCCAGCTATGTCTTACCATATATTCTAGCTCCCGTTATTGGCCATTTCATAATGTCACATGTTTCAGTCAAAATTGAGAAACATATTAATATTTATATTTTAAGTTCATGAGATAAAGGCCCAAGATGGTATTTATTGATTTAGAGAAAGCTTATAATAAAGTTCCAAGACAAGTGTTATAGAGAGTTTTAGAAAAGAAAGGAGTTGATAATGCTTATACTCAAGTCATTAAGGATATGTTTGCAGGAGCTATTACTTGTGTTCAAACACAAAGTGGTTTAACCAAGTATTTTCTAATTTCAGTTGATTGTATCAAGGATCAAAAGCCCATATCTTTTTTCTTTAGTCATGGATGTTCGTATTAAACATTTGCAAGATGTACCCTGGTGTATGCATCTTGTTGATGATATTCTTCTTGTTGAAGATAATAACAATAATAATATAAAATTATTTTTTGACAAAGTAATGTCAATGGCTGACGAGGCCACATTCAACAAAGATGATAAGGCATTGACTGCAAGCATTGATGATGACAGAGAGCTATAGCTACAATGGCTACAAGAATTAAGGAGGAAGAAAACAAACTTTTCATCCAAAGATGTCGTGGCTTCTGAAGGGGAAGAGCTAATAATGATTAATGAAGAATTCACCAACAAGCAAGCAACACGAGGCAACAAAGGAAGGAACGATAATTTCCACTAACAAAGGGGTGGCTCTCACAAGTGAGGAGAACCATCCTTCGACTCTTGATTGCATTTTAGTGATGTCTAAGCTCCTTCTAAAGCAATTGGAGAGCATGTGAAGGATCTTAGTGATGTTGATGTGGAGCAAGTTAGGCTCCACCTAAGCTATTGAGCACTGCCTCCTATGTTAGAGAGCAAGGAGGAAAATGCACAATGGAGAACACCTCCTTATCTAAACATAGTTGGGAAGAGGTGTATGCCTCTAATATGCATTTTTGAGTCCAATGAGACCTACAAAGAGAACTTGCAAAAGATGCAAACTAATTAAAGATCATGAAGATCTAATCATTGAGGAAGTAAAAGAGTTAGTTGTCTACAAGCACCTTATTTAGGCCTAAAGGAGGCATAGATGCAAATAAAGAATCTATAAGAGAAGGCTTGAGAGGATAGGCAACATTTCCATAAGAATGAGATGGACTTGAACTTCATGAAAAAGTTTCATTTTTAAACCATTCACCATATTGTCAAGGCTGCCACTACGGCAACAAATCTGTCAAAACCTGCCTATGGAGTTCAAGGCGGTCTCCATCACAAGAACATTGTATTCCCCTTGTCAAAGCAAGAGAGTGTCAAGGTCCTTGGTTTGTTGCCCCTCGAGGGAGGTTGATTACATCTTAAGCCAAGCATCCTAATTTACACTACCAATTGTTGACCTCTGTGTAAAGAACAAAGAAAGAGAAATTTCAAACCTTGTATCCGTCGAAGTGCCACTCGAATCTCCGGAAAATCCGTAAGATATCCCGTTGAATTATTGTTCCTTCAACGTCGTTCGTGTCGCTTCTCCGCAAAATCCTCCGCTATTCCGGCACTCGCCTCGATCACAGCCTCCTGTTGCTGATAAAACGAAGATGAAGCGAGGCCTTTCATTCTTCTTCTTTTCCACACACACGAACTCTCCCACTGCCGAGACTTCCGACCTTCTGTTCACAAGCCATGATCCTCTTTGCATTCTACTGCCGCTATAGCCGAATCCTCTGCTCCTCCGACTCAACCCACATGGCCTCCAACAAACCTCACAAGCCTCCCGTCGATTCCACCTGAAGAAAGCCGGCTCGAGACCGACACCTCTTCCCCTCTTTGCAAGCCTCTGATGCTTTCACCTATCCCAATCTATCGCCGCCTGCTCTAAGTGAAATCGACCACAAACCTCCTCAAGCTAACCCGATCACTTCATTCAGAAGGCATCCTCTCACATCGACTTACCTCAACCAATCAAATCCCTACCTGGCCGATCTCCCTCTTCCAACCAATAGCCCTCTCTACCCATCCATAAGCCCATTTGCCCCTTTGCCCGATCTTCACAAAGTTAATGATTAGGTTTATTTTATTTTAGTTTTATGTTAATATTAGTAATGATTATTAATATTAGTTATTAATAATATTAAAATCTTGGGGTCAATTTTAATTGATTTAGTTGGTTGGTCAGTTTTAATGTTTAGGGTAATATTCTCTGAAGTTTAAGTTGAATTAACGGATTTTAGAAGGTCCGGGGTCATCCTACCCTGATGAGGATATCGAAGATCAACGGCTACGATCTTGAGTTATTTATTTATATGTACTAATTTATTTCATATTATTGTTTTTCCCTTTATACCCTTACGGGTGGTCATGTAGTATTGTGGCCCGAAGGGCACTTTATATGTACTAATTTATTTATTTATTTATATGTACTAATTTATTTCATATTATTATTTTTCCCTTTATATCCTTACGGGTGGTCATGTAGTATTGTGGCCCGAAGGGCACTTTAGTATTTTATTTCTTTTGTTTTCATGAGGCCTATTTATAGGCTAGTTGTTTTGTATTTTGGGATGATGATTGATCAATGAAAATTTCTACTTTTGATCTCTTTATGAGTTCATTCTTCCAAGATCTCTTAGTGAGTTCATTCTTCCAAGATCTCTTAGTGAGTTCGTCGGAAGAACTAGATCTCTTTGTGAGTTCTAGCATTCGTCCAAGTTAATTGTGTGGAAATTCGGATTGAAGACAAATGAGGTTAGTGAATTCGTAGTCGCTCGAATCCCTTGAATTTTCCCTCTCTTCCTCCCCTTACAATTGCCGCCGCCCAGCCCTGAGCCGCCCAAGCCGCCGGCCAATTGGTTGCCATATCCCGCCGGCCGGCCACCCCACGTCGTGACCCACCCCTTGCGCTTCCTCTAGTCGCGGCCGCCCCTTCCATGGAGTTTCAATTTTTGAAATTTCATATTGTCACGAGCCATTAATTGTTTCCTAATTTAGCTCCTTAATTTACGCCATCAATTTAATTGATTTTCAACTTCGAATTTGAAATTCAAATTGTTTAAATTGATTGCCCTCCTAAATGGAAGTTTTCTCTCCTTAAGAAAACTGAAAAAGGAGATTAATTTTGAAATTTCAAATTATTCAATAATAGCTATGGGTTATTAATGGAGGAGGTAATTAGGGCTGATTTAGTGGAGCATTATGTAATTTGAAGAGAGAGATGGCCCATTAAGAGGGCCGGGCCACATAAGGAGAGAGAGGGGTTGAGTTTTGAATAAGTAGGGGACACCATTTATGGGGTTCAGATTTTTAAAAAATCTGAAATATTTT